TGCACACACACACACACACACACACAGTGCCCAGTTACAACACACACACACACACACACACAGTGCTCAGTTACAACACACACACACACAGCGCCCACTTAGAGCACACACACATACACACACACACACAAAGCCCCCGGTTAGAGCTCACACAAACGGGCAGGTGTCACCTACCTCCTACCTATCAAAAGGTAGCTAATTAAAACATCCAATCTCTCCGCAGTTTGTACAGATTATATAATTGCAGTCACTGAATAGTGTGAGACCTGCGATGGACTGGCATCCCACCCAGGCTGAGCCCTGCCTTCTGCCCTGTGCTGCCTGGGACAGACTGCAGTGTAAATGACCGTGGTAATATATAATAATAGAATAATAGAACTGAGCTATGATCCACAGTATGGAAAATTCGTAAGTAAAGTGAGCAAACCCACTTTGCAGTATAACGCTCAGGACCGTTAATGTTAATGAAGAGGAAGAGAGATCAAAGAGAAGGAGCGTTAATCGAGTCCATCTTGTCTGCAGTGAATGCTTTATGCTCCAGATTGGATACACAAGAACATGGGAGTAAATCACGGGGGGGACGGCGGGGACATGTCCCCCCCTATCCGAGGGTTGTCCCCCCCAAAAAAATTATTAAAAAAAATTGCACTATCTATTGTGAAAAATATATGTATGTATACCTAAAATAAAAACAAACGCAAAAAATGCATTTAGAAACAGTTGAGTTCCCCCTCCCCTTCCTCACAGTGGTTTGGCCCACTGCCTGCTTTCCCAGTTCATCTCACCTACTCTACACACACGAGTCAGGTGTGTGGCTGCGGCTCAATTAATGTTGAACTCCAGTAAGTAGGGTATTTTATTCACTTTAAATAAAGCGATTCTCTTTAATGTAGTTGATGCAGACTCATTCATAAATCAGTTTTGGCAAAAATGCTGATTAGCGATTGACAAACTGGATGATCATTTGACTTCTCCTCCTTTTTTCCTCCCGATGCAGGGTGTCCCCTGCCTTGTGCCCTGTGATTGGCTGGCATCCCGTCCAGGGTGTCCCCTGCCTTGTGCCCTGTGATTGGCTGGCATCCCGTCCAGGGTGTCCCCTGCTTTTACTCTAAACACAATAGGCTCCAGGGCCTTTACAATTGTGTTTCTAAACCTGGTCTCTGTTATGCACCAGGAACCAGGATGAGAAACACAGCCTTACGACACTGATTTGGATAAGTAGTTGAGAGATGGATGGATGGATTATAAAAATTTGGTATCAGATAAAAATAAAATGCTTTACCTACTTTATCTAGTCTGTCATAGAGTTGAAGTATTAAAGATACTGGAGTATCTGAGGGGTTACTTAAATTAATTAGCACTTAAATTTAAAATAAAATCACTGGATATTTATTAATGACCTAAGGAATAGGACTCCCCGCATCCCTGAACAGGATAAATGATTTCAGAAAATAAATGGGTGGATGGATGGATGGATGGATGGACGGGATAAAAAAAGTCGACCTTGCTGACTGATTTTGAAAATGTTCTGCTACTCAAGTTCACAGTCCTTCATACCTGTAGACTCTGGCTGCAGGTTTATTGACAGACTGGCAGGAATTGGCAGGTTCCTCCCTCCTGACATTGATCTGAACGTGGCTGCAGTGCGGTTTCTGCAGGCCCTCACGCAGGCCTCGTTTATGACAAAAGTGGGCTAACTTTGAAGATGGGGGTGTAACTCTCACCTTGATTCTTTCAAAGTTTTCTGAAAGACTTGTAACCCTCCCCCCCAAAAAAAGAAGAAAAGTACCAGATCACACCTCTAGGCTGAAGCACTGATGAATTTCTTGGCCTAAAAAGGAGAAAACAGGACGGGCAGTGCTCTTTGGGGGGGGGGGGGGGGGCATGCCTTGCATGTAACAGTCGTTTGAGCCTTTGATGTGGTGTCCCCATTGTAACATGTCATTGTATCAATATAACATTAAGTTGAATAAAGAAAATACTAAATAAATGTGGGTCTTATGCCAGTTTGTCGGCTTGCCCCCCCAAGCTCTGTGTGTGTGTGTGTGTGTGTGTGTGCATGCTCTGCACATGTTAAAACATGGGTTTTATCCGAATAATCCAGCTCAAAACATGCAAATGTCTCTAAACTAGGGGTGCCCACCTGCAGTCCTGGGGGGGCGGAGCCCTGTGTAGCTTAGTTCTTTCCCTGTTCCATCACAAATGATTCAGCTCAAGAGCTGTGTGGTAATTAGCACAAGGAGGTGCAAAGAGTTGAATCAGGTGTGTTAAATGAGGGGAAACGTGTGTGTGTGTGTGTGTGTGTGTGTGTGTGGGGGGGGGGGGTTGGTTGCATAGATCACATTTGAGGAATTGTCCCCAAAGTGGAGTAAAACCTGAAATTTCCCTACTTTTGGGGACATCTTTTGAGGTCCCCATCTGGATAACCTCAGTTTTATAGAAATCTGTGAATGCAATCAAAAAAGTAAAAATGCCATAAGATTTGGGTTGGTTACTTATGGTTAAGGTTAGGGATGGGTAGAGGTTAAGGGTGTCCTGATTGGGATTAGGGCTTTTCCCATAGAAATGAATGGACGGTCCCCATTTGGATAGGAAGACCAACTTTTTGTGTGTGTGTCTGTGAGTGTGTGTGTGTGTGTGTGTGTGTGTGTGTGTGTACATTGATGTATACACAGCTGACACTGTACCACCTCCAATTAAGTAACCTAAGTAAGCCACCTGAAGCTGAGCCGGTTTGGGACTGCCCAGTACTTGCATGGAAGACTGACTAGGAAAGCTGGTGTGGCCAGCAGGGGGAGCCCATTCTATGGTCTGTGTGGATCCCAATGCCCCAGTGCAGTGATGGGGACACTGTGGCCAGCAGGGGGAGCCCATCCTATGGTCTGTGTGGATCCCAATGCCCCAGTGCAGTGATGGGGACACTGTGCTGTGAAAATGGATCTGTCCTTTGGATGAGATGTGAAACTGAAGTTTGGTTGTAATCCTTGAGGCATTATTCAAAAGATTGGGGGTGGTGCCCCAATGCCCTGGCTAAACTGTCCACTGTGGCCCAATCAAATCTGGCCTCCTAATCATCCCCTAAATCAAATTGGTGAATTGCCCCTGCCCCTTTACCCCTTTAGCTACTGTGTGGTGAGCGCACTGGTGCAAAATGGCTGCCATCAGGTGGGGGCTAAACAGTGGTTGAAGTGGCTCCCAATTGGTTCTGTAAAGTGCTTTGGGTGTCGCGAAAAGTGCAACGTTCATTCATTCCTGGAGTTCAGGGTACCCCTGTCTCCACAGTGTGCTTCCAGAGGCTGGGCTCTAGGGTCTGATCAAGGGTGTACCTACAAATTCTGGGCCCCCTCAGTACGTTTTGCTGGGGGGAGACACCCCTTGGTAGCATGGATGCCCTGACACATTCAGGGGTCCCTGAATACCTAAAATGATATAATGTAAGGGGGGGGGGGACACAAGGTGACATTTTGTCAGTGCCCAGAATTCCCTGCTACTCCTCCTGCTTGGAAGAGACACAAAAATTGAAAATGACCTGGAAACCCCCTCCACGGATGTGGCTGCCTGCAATTTTGTACTGGATTAGATGTATGGGGGAAATATAACCATACAGCGTATGTTGCAGCAAGGGGACTGGCTGTTCAGCAGCCGGGCTGAGTCTCTGTAATTGGCCGACGAGTGTAACAATGCCCCCTGTAGAGATCAGGGACTCCCGACAAGGCGAGCTCCGCCGACGCCATGCCATGGTTACAGCGCTGGTCTCCAGGGCTCCTGACTGACAGGCGCCTTGGCCAATCGGAAAGAAGCGGGGCGGGACTTCGCCAGCGCGGAGACACCAGCCAGCGGAGCGGTGTATGAAGCACCCACTTTGCGCTCGGCTCCGGTGCTTGAAGACGGCATGTTACTGCCTTGCTTTTCGTGAATAAATATCCAGGTAAGGATAGACACTATAGCGTTTTTCGCGTCTCAATGTGCGTTTCATTGGAAGCTTTTGTCTGCTTGCGTGCCTCTCTCAGGTCGACTGACGCTGAACCGGTGCGGAATATATCACAATAATATGAAGGTCTGCGCTAGACGTGAGTGATTTTCACGAATTAACACGTGTGACAGCGGAATGGTGCGATGTGGCAGCGCTGAGCAGCTGTGCCGACCGCTTAGCCCCATGCAGCCCCTGCACGCATGCGGCGGGTTGATGGCTCATCCCCCGGCTGCCGTACCCTGACATGCATGGCCGGCGAGCGAAGCCCCTTTCATAGGCTGACCGATCGCTCCTTTGGTAATCGGGCTAGATTTCAGAAGACTTGCCGTTTTGTAACCTCTAGCGTTTTATGTCCCGCATTGTTATTTCAGTCCCTCGTGAGAGACTCAGATTATTTCCTCTTTGTCTGTGCTCTTGTGTTGGAGGATCTTTGCACAACTTTGCACAAAAGGCGCCCAACCTCACCAAATGACAGCAACTACGGATGCGTTTTCCTTTTTGTAACCGGCAGTCGTTTCTGACACCGCCGGGTTACAGACCCCCATGGTGCTGCCTCGTTGAACTGGCGGTCTGAACCTGGGTACCTTCAGAGCCCTGTTGACCTCAGATCAAAGGTGTGGTTTTCTAGCGATACTCTGCTTTCTCGCCGGTGCTGTTTACTGTACACCTGTTGCTGGGAGTAACTAGAGCTGTCATTTACATTTCAAATCCTGACTTTGTTTCTGCGTCATCCCGAGCTTGCGCCCCAACCTCACCCCGTACAGGAAACCGCCTTCCTGTTTGTCAACCTGACACGATTCATCCGAGTCTCGCCGGCATCAACACAGTGAGATATGGATAAATAAACGGCCTGTCCCCGCCGGCCGCCTCGGGTCTGGCCAGGGGCCTCTGGGCTTGGTTCTGTGGCAGATGGGGTTTCCTGGCTTCGGATCGACTTGGGCGGCCGAAGGGCGCCCCCTTCAGGGCCCAGTTAGGGAGCAGTATAGTGGCTGACAGATTTTAATCTCTGTTTCGGTGTTTTTTGCCAAATAACTTGTGCTGGGTGTTACTTGGGTATTGTTACTCACAAGTAACAAAGGTTTTGCATTTTAACTCGGGGAGAGTGCTGGAATTTTTACCCAGAATGCAAATGGGTCCCTCACCCAGTGCGTTGCATCCACAGTACAGTGTCGGTCTGCGCCTGTGTGATTCATCTTTCAGATCACTATTCATGTATGCCATTATCTTTGTGTTCAGTTTTTTTCCCCTTTGTGTTTTGAATCGTTTTGTGTTCTGTGCTAAATGGCACGGCCACTCAGTCCAGACGAATGGGCTCTCGGGTGAGCCGTCATTGTTACAGCCGGTGACAGAACCTGCTCTCTGGTACAGCAAGGTGTGGCGGAGGAGGGGGGGCTCTGGATGAAGGGAAGACTCCGCATGTGCAGGAAGACTGAATCGCCTGATCTGTCAAGGTCTTTGTGCCCAATTAAAGATGACACACTGGGTCGCTGGATCTGGGCATTCCTCCAGCCCAGTCAAGCTCTGGGGGAGGGTCATTCAGGGTGCGTCCAACTGGCAACCATACCTCCCACCCCCCCCCCATTCCATCCTACCCGTCTTCATACTGTATTTATGTACAGAAGAGCACCTGGATATAAAACCATTAAGAGGGTAATGAGGTGTTGGCCCTTTAAGAGGACCAGGCCTGACTGCACTGGCTTCCTGTGTTGGCGTCTCTTCCTCTCTCCGCTTGGCCCCTGATTTTGGAAGCGTTCGATTGTCGCTGTGTCGAGCGGGGTATTAAAAATGGATGCGCGGCCCCCGTCACGGCTGCCGCTGATCTGTCCCATTTCTCCTGGCTGCTTCTGCCCGGCGATGGCCGTCTGTCGTTTGACGACGGAGCAGCAGAGAGGAGCCATATTGCTTTCTGCCGGAAGATGGGGACGGGCTTTTCCAGCACGCTCGCGTTTTCCACGCCGGCCATCTGCTCGCCCTTAGCTGTTCGTCGCTGCAGCGATGCGAGCCCTACTTTCGGGTCCCCCTCAAGAAAGCCCCCCCCCCCCGGATGAGAACCTCATAGTGTCGTCTCCAGAGAAGCTCGGGGTGGACGAGAAGCCCTTTAGACATGAACTGTCCTTCCTTCATTTTTAATTCTTCTAAGAGACGCATCAGAGGAGATGGACGAAAGTGGCCTGCGAGTGTGGAAGGCGGAGTTGTGGATTTATATGTCGTTAATCTTCTCCAGGCAGTCGTCTTGCCAAGTGCCTGTTAGGAATTATCTTACCTCTGCAGAGTCAGGCTGGGGCTCCGTGTGTGTGTGTGTGTGTGTGTGTGTGTGTGTGTGTGTGTGTGTGTTTTGCCCAACTCACCACACACCCTGATTATGGTAACAGGAGTCCTACCACGTACCAGATGGCAGCTTCAGCTCCACGCCAAACATGCTCCGTTTTAGGGTCAACAGCTCGCAGGCACCCCGGTGGACGCCCCTGTGGACACCACCTCCCCCGCCGAGGTCCTGCCCGCAGGGGTGTTTGCAGGGCTGAGGGGGGCAATTCCGCCGTTGCTGTCCTACCCAACTGCAATGCGGTCCCTGCTAAAGTTTTTGTCCATCCTTGTTTTCCGAGCAATAAATCCGGGGGCATCCCGAGCTCACATCTATAGCGTCCTGCAGGCCACACTTAGCCTGTCAAATCATTTCGCATTGTAAGGATGAATGTACGGTACAAGTTGCTTGATGTAGAGGATAGCTTGTATCATATATCAACCAAGTAGTGACACAATAACCCCATTTCCATCAATCCAGTACCGGTACTGGTGCTGTTTTTTTTCCCAATCCAGAACTGGTTCTCCATGTTTCCACCGCAAAAAAAACTGGCCCTGGGCCAGAAAAAGCGGCTCCAGCGTAGCACCACAGAAAAGCCGGTCCCAGAACTAGGAACCGTAACGTCAGTGGAGGTGAAAATGGCTACTATGTTCAAATAAACAAAAAGTAATTGTACTAATTGCCGCATTATATTTGTATATAAAGGATTCTTGTGGCTAATGCTAATCACATTAGTTCTTGTTCAAATCAAGGGTGAAGAAAAAAAAATCAAAAACATTATGTACACGTCAACGTGAAAGCATTCACCTTGAATCATTAACGCTGTTGTTATTGAAAGCAAACCTGCAGAAACAACTTGTAGCCTCATATAAGGGAAACTGTATTCCATGTGAAACGAGGTGCAATAAGGTGTCAGTTCACCTTGCACCAAGCGAAAACCAGCCCATCACCAGTAAATGAGGACGCTCCCCCTGAACGTCGGCCGGGCCGACCTTGGTGAAAGTGTGTCACCCTCATGGGCTTGCCCGGCCCCCCGTGTCCTTCAGCCTCGCCGCACCGCTAAGAGCTGGATTCCCCATCGCCAGAGTGACCTCGGGCTCAGTCCACGCCGGACGCAGCTTCGTACCTGTGGGGCAGAGCCAGCGTAGCGGACGCGCACTAGTAAGGAGTCAATCCGGTGCCCGACGCCACGCCCCCCGCCAGCAGGAAGTCCCCCTCCCCCACATACACAGCCAGCGGATCGCGGGAACAAAAGGGGCACAGTGGTGGTCGATTAACAAAGCGGGATGCTTTGTCTTGTATCGATGAGAATAGCATGTGAGCCCCTCCCCCCCCCCATCCTAATTTGACAGCTCCTAACAGGCCAGTACACTCACACATGCCCCCCCGCCCCCCACAATGTGCATCAGCTGAACCCCGGTGTGATGACAGGATCCGGCCGATGGGGTCTCCTGCCCAGAAAGGCAGGGGAGGCTGAGTCACTGGCAGATGAGGAGATGGTGAAGGGATCAGCGGATCGTGTCCCATCCGTGTGTGTGTGCACGTGCGAGTTGTGATTGCGACTCGCAGAGTGGTGTCCCTGCCTCCCGTGGTCACTTAGGTGTAGTTGAGCTTGACAGACAGACAGGAATGGGAGGTGGTTACACTGCCACGGTGAAAAGGAGGGAGAAACATCCAGAAAACGAAGGATTAAAATATCAGGAAGAGGTGCTTGGAGCAGCCATTAATCACAGGGTGGGGAGGGTTAGGGTTAGGGTTAGGGAAACTCAATCAGTGATGTGGACTGAAGCTCCTCCCTGTCAGTCTGTCTGTCTGTCTGTCTTTCTCTTTTGCTTCCTGCCGGTCTCTCTCTCTCTCTCCCTCCCCCCTCACTCCCTGTCAGTCTATCTGTCCCTCTCTCCATCTCTCTTTGTCTGTCTGTCACTCTGTCTGTCTGTCTTTCTCCGTCCTTCCCTCTCACTCCATCTGTCTGTCTGCCTGCCCCTCCTCGCTCCCTTTCTCTCCCTCTCCCCTCCTACACACCTTAGAGGGAATATCACCTCAGGGTCAGCGCACAGCCAAGAGCGCATCACAGCTGAACCGGCTTGAAAACCAGAACACTTTCTTCCTCCTTTCTCTTCCCCTCACATCACCGTTCCTCTCTTCTCTTCCCCATCCGCCCCCTCCTTCCCCCCTTTCTTTTTACCTCCCCCCTCCAGCCCTTTGCCCCCCCACTCGGCTGCGGCTGCTGCAGTGTCAGTCAGAATCTGAACATCCCGCCCATCATGCACTTGTGGTTTCACTTGGGGGTGGGGGGGGAAGTCCTTGTTCACCTCGGGCCGTGACCGTCACCCTGAAACCCCCCCTCCGTTCAGTATGATCTGTGCCCTGCCATCATGCAGGTCCCCGAAACCTCCCCCCCCCCGGCTCGCTGCGGTCTCCTGGAGCCTTTTGTCTCACTCTCTGAAAGGTTTCCTGGTGTGGTTGCGGCTACCAGAGATGCGTGCTGATCGCAGAGCTCTGCGCCCTGTGACACCCCCACACCCCCGCCCCCCCGCCTTCCTGGGGTGTCTGGCCTGATAAGTGAGGCTGTGTGACTGGGCTGCCAGGCATGAACATGCTCACACACAGAGCTGCACGTGTGGAGCCGGACTCCAGCCTCCATGTGGGCCCTCTGCCCCGGCCCTCCCCACACAGAGCCTGGCCCCCAGCTCCCTCTACACGGGGCCCGGCCCCTGGCCCTCCCCATACGGGGCCCGGCCCCTCTGACGGCTTTCCTCTCCCTTTCAGATCTCGGCGGACCCCGCTGAACAGAGATGGCCTTTTTCGCCAGTAACTTTTGGGTAAGTACCTCGCCCGCTACTGTGTGGAGTCCACTTCCCTCAAGGGGGGTAAAGGTCACGATGTGGGGCAGGAAACCAGATTGTGTGACGTTTATTTCAGGATGTCTGGTATGTCTGCCATCTACAACACCCTCTAATATACATACCTTCTAACCCCCCCCCCCCCCCCCCGATTCTGAAAGCGGTGCGTGCATGATGACATGGACAACAGATAGGGGGCTGGGGGGGGAGGGAACACCTGGCTGCATCTGGAGCCAGGGTAACCTGTATTGGCTGGGGTGGGGGCGGGGCAAGACTCATGCAGGCTGTGCGGAGGGGGGACAGGAAGGTGGGGGGGGTTCTCTGGCCCGTTTTCTCAGCCGCGCGGACTACGCTCCCCGGGGGGACGTGGCGATCACCTGACCGCTCTATTTCAGGTACGTCCTACTTCACCAGGCCTGGAGTAACAGGGGGCGGGGCCACAGGGACACTGACCCCAGCTGAAAGCTGATTGGCCCTTACAGTGGCCTCTTCGCTGTCACTCACTGATTCAAAACATATGATTGACTAATGATAAGCTTGGCTCCACTATATGAATTA